TGTGGGGAAGGTGAGCATCACAGAATGCCAGATTGTTAGAACAAGTGGAGAACCGCTGTTTTAACTAATGGATGGGAAACAACAGCACTTTGTAGAGGGAAGAGAAGGGGCATGGTCTCAACACCTTTCTAAATCCATAAAAAGGTCATTGGTGTTTGTGCTCTAGGTAGGAGCCCTGGTGCCTTCATGGTTAAGTGTTGGACTGTGATCTGAAAGATCCGAAGTTCAAAACCAACAGCTGATCTGTGGGAGAAAGACAAGGCTTTCGACTCCTGTAGAGAGTTCCAGTCTGGGAAACCCACAGGGGCAGTTCTACCCCGTCCGGTCGTCGCTGTGAGTCAGGATGACTCCTGACTCGATGGCAGTGAGGCCGGCGTTCTGTTTGTTTGAGTGCTGCAGGCACCTCTCGAGTGTGCTCCGCGGCTTTTCACAATGTGGCGCCAATCACAGCGCATGGCGGAGGAGACTCTTCGTGGCCGCGAGTAGGCGCAGTTGTGTCCTTTCATGGTGTAGTTCTGTTTTATGTCACACGTGCCCCACACTCACACAACGCATTTCGCTCCATTGCTGTCTAGACACAAGCGACGAGTGTAACCTCTTCTCCTTCCTCCATCCTTGTTCTCGGTGCCTAATTATCGAGTCAGAGCTCATGGGGCTGTGTTTGACTGTTGGAAAAGGGCAGGGACCGAAATGTCGAGACCCGTTAGTCCTATGATTCAAAATCCGGTCATCTTCCTAAGGGGGAGGAAAGCCATCCAAGAAGATAACAACGTGGTTGTTATTTTTAATAGTAAAAATAACCATAACAAGTTTGCAGCTCAGAGGCCATGCTGGCCGAATCCTGCGCTGCCCCATTCTGCAGGGAGCACTCCTGCGCCAGCCAGAAGGTTCCAGCATCGTTGGCGTAGGTGAGTCACCTGTCCCCACGTTGTCTTGCAGTGTTTTGCCGTGCGCTCACTGGGCTGGGTGGAGATGGCGGAGGAGGACCTCGCTCCCGGGAAGAGCAGCGTTGCTGTCAACAACTGCATCCGGCAGCTGTCCTACTGCAAAAATGACATCCGAGATACGGTTGGCATCTGGGGGGAGGTAAGTGATAATGTGGCTGGACGGGGCCACCGCCTTTCCCTCCTGCTAAGCGGGGCTCACAGAAGGTGCCCTGGTGGCGGTGTGGGTTATGCATTGGGAGAAAGATGAGGCTTTCTACTCCCATGAAGCCTTGCAGTCTCGGGATGGGTGAAGGGGCTTACTAGGGGAGTGGGATGGAGGGTTGGAGGGAAATGGGAAGCTCATGATAAATACAAGAGGGAAGAGAATGATCTGGAACTGATTGTAGCATTTGTACAACTCTGAAATGTGACTCAACTGTGGTTCATATGATATATGAACCATATGCCAGTAAGCCTTTTTTTAAGAGTTACAGCCTTGGAAACCCACGGGGGCAAGTCTACCCTATCCTACGGGGTCACTGTCAGTCAGCATTGACCTGATGGCAGTGAGTTAGGGCTTTGGGGGTTTGGGGGGTCATGGTCACCAGCTCCCGAGGCACTGGGGCCATGACTCTGAAGTTTCTGGAGATATAGTCAGGTACCTTGTCCCTCGTCTTTCTCCTCTTGAGGGGCTGCTGGGTTTGAACTGCTGACCTTGAGGGTCACGACCCATCGCTTAACCCACTGCGCCATCAGGGCGCCTGCCATCGGTTTGGGTTTTTTTTGTTTTCCCTTAAAGTAAATATTCAGAAATGTAAATCATTAAAAGCAAGAGGTGACTTAGGAAGCAGGCGGGGACACCGAGCATGTGGAAGAGGAGAAAGAAATTAGCATGTCAGGGGCATGTGTCAGTCAGGAGAGAACGTTCCTCTCAGGAAAACCCAGTCCGTACCCAAAGGGTGGGTGGTGTCTTCTGACCGTGGGAGCGTCGGCGGAGGTCCCCACCAGCATCCCCGGCCGTGCTGTGGGCACTAGGAAGACATGTGCGTCCTCTCTCATTGCATCCCAGGGGAAAGACATGTACCTGGTCCTGGAGAACGACGTGCTCAGCCTGGTGGACCCCATGGACCGCTCCGTGCTGCACGCCCAGCCCATCGTGAGCATCCGCGTGTGGGGCGTGGGGCGCGACAACGGCCGGTGAGTGCCCGCTTCTGTCTCGGCCCAGCTTGCGCTGGTTAAGGAGCCGATGCCGGTCTTCTCCTGCCTCTCCTCTGCCCTCCAAGCTGCTCGCCGTCCTCGTGTCTGCCCCTCACACCTGTGGCAACTTGCGCCTGCAGGTGCTGCCTGTTTCCCATCGGGTCATCCTTACTGTCCACCCAAGACCCAACCCGCCCAGGCTCTCTGATCCCCCATTTTTAGTCGTTTCCAAAGTCTGTTTCAAGCACCCATTTCTTTCCATGGGGTCCCTCCGCACACAACACCGGTGTTTTCATCACAGAGGGCTTGCTAGAAGGGAGACGTTAAGAGTCTTCAGTGACAAGCCTGAGGTCATTAAAGTATGACTTTGGGGACTTTGGGCGTCTGGGACTGGCCAGACTTACAGCTTCCAATAGATGACCTTGGGTATGTTTAATGCGGTCGGTAACGTGGAGCATCAGCCGTCTGTGTTCCACTCGGCCCCAACGTGTCGGTATGGGTAGGAGCCACTGCTTGCTTGGAGGTGTTGTGGGTTTTCCAGGGCTAAGAACTGGCTTTTCCCAGTTCAGTCATAGCCAAGAGAGCAAAACCGGAACAGACCCAAGTTTGGGAAATGTCGGCGAACCTGAACGGAAACCAGAAGGAGGGATTTGGGAGGCGAGGCCCTGATAGAAATGTAATCTTTAAGAAAATGAGGACTGCGTGCTCACGGTAGAGCAGCCGAATCTCTTGAGTGGCAGAGTGGGAAACAGTGGTGCCCGCTCAGAGATGGCGACCAGCCATGCCTCTGTGCACACACGTCTCTCTGCACAGGCCCGGCAATAATCCAGTCCCATGCATCGGACTCCAGAAGGGGCTCAGCAGGCCTTTGCCTGGTCGTCTCCTCTTCCTGGGCCTTCAGCCATGATGTCTCCTGTCCAGCTATCGTCCTAAGGCACCCACATTTGTAGAATACAGGTTTGGATTTCACTTCACCGGCCATGGCTGAGCCATTGGAACCAGTTCAGAGGCCTGGACTTGTCTATTCTTTGGGACAATCAGAAACAAGGACGTTCTGGTTTTCAGGCATGTGTCCTAGCTTTATCCTAGCAAATGAAGCCGCAGGCATCTCCCTTGCATGCCGTTACTGGCTCACCGGGAGACCTGAAATACTGGTACTCTAACAGTAGAGACAATCTTTGCCCTCCTCAAGACTCCAGGAGCTCTCCTGGCATTTGGAGATGATGTATAGGATGATTAGCTCCCTCTCTGCTGAAAAGGGACAAAAGCACTTGAGAAATGAGTCACCGTCCGAGCAGCGGTGGGATGGCTCTCCAGGCCCGTGGGTCCATTGCCAGGCATTCTGGTTGACTGGGTCCTGTGGTGGTCTCCTGGGACATCTGCGTGCGCTTTTCACCTGCCTCTGTCCACCCAGACTGGGCATCAGTGGATCCCATGGCCTTGTGATTTGGTCCCAAGCCCTGACCCATAAAGGAAGGACGATGGGTCAGTATTCATCGTCCGGAGAGCATGCATCATTGTTGAAACCAGACGTGAGAAGGAGTCTGCCCATTTGGGAGCTGAGGACACAGGACTGGATAAACTAGCCAGGAGTACAGGGTGCCTTGGAACTGTTTGTAGCAGAATGATGAGGCGTGACCGCTGGGCCAGGTGCCCGGGGACCGTGTGGACAGATGATGCAAAGCCATCATCCGCTTATGTGGCAGAGGTGTTGCCCTGGAGGTGATGGTGTGGACATGGCTTGATTGATTTTGCAAGGAAGGCGTCTGATTATGTACAGTCACCGTTAAGAACCTTTAGCGTTGGCGGCCAGCCCTGACGGGTGCAGCGTGCCCGGTACACTCCTTATTCTTGTCCTCAGCTTGCTCAAAGGCAGAAGACAAGTGAAGAGCATTACGGACGTGTGTACCTAGGTAGGGTTATGTTCTCTTAAGAAGGATAGGTTCAGGGTCTATTTGATTCCATCCAATGTTTCAGCCCCATTCAAACCTTCCGAGCAGTGCCTCTAGAGGGCGCTGAAGTGATCCCAAACTCCGGAAAACCAAACTCCAATACCATTGAGCCCATTCCTAATCCTAGTGATCTTAAACACAGAGGGTAGAACTGCCTCTGGGGGTCTCGGAGACTGGAACTCTCTATGGGAGTAGAAAGCCGCCTCTTTCTTCCACTGAGCGGCTGATGATTTTGAAGCGCTGAGCTCACTCTTAGCAGCCTAGTGTGTAAGCACACCACCACCAGGCAGCTGTAAAAGTGGACACCTATAGTTTATCGTGGATTATGGGCTGTAATGCAAACATTTTTCATCACCAAGGGAGTGCTGAATAACTCCCCTGTTTATATCAGTTTGTTTACTTTTTAAATTATTATTATTGTTGGGGGTTTTTTGGTTTGCATTTCTTTTTTTATAAATCATTTTATTGGGGGCTCCTACAACTCTTATCACAATCCATACATACATGCATTGTGTCAAGCACATTTGTACATTTGTTGCCATCATCATTCTCAAAACATCTGCTTTCTACTTGAGTCCTTGGTATCAGCTCCTCATTTTTCCCCTCCCTTCCCACCCTCCTCCCTCACGAACCTTTTTTTTCTGGAAAGGTGGTAGAGACCCAGTAAGTTGGAGAACCTATGCTCTAAAGCAGTGGTTCTCAACCTATGGGTCGTGACCCCTTTGGGGGGAGGGGGTCGAACAACCCTTTCACAGGGGCCGCCCAATTCATAACAGTGGCAACACAACAGTGATGAAATAGCAATGAAATAAAAAGAAAAGGAAAAATCACAATGAAATGACTTTATGGTTGAGGGAATCACCACCACATGAGGAACTGTATGAAAGGTTGAGAACCACTGCAAGGGAGACATGATGATTCAAACACAACAGACAGCATTATGCAAGGTCTCTGAGCCTCAGTTCTCCCATCTGTGGATTGGAGGCAATATTAAGGACCACCAAAACGGCACCCCCACACAATGTAGTGATTCCTCAGTGATGCAGGCAGAGTGGAGGCTGACTGGGTGTCCAAAGAGATGCCACTGATTTCGGGACTCCCTGTCAAAGATGGCTGAGGCGTCGGAGGGGTCTGACCTGAGAGAGGCTTCAGGGACAAATGGTCATTTCATACAGTGCGGGCAGGGCTAGCTGTGCCCCACATGAACGAGTGCTGTTGTCTTACAAAGTAAAGGGAGCTGCCTGCCCCCATGATCGACTCCCTGCCATCGCGCCCCTTCTGGCTCATAAAGATTTACAGTCTCAGAAACTCACAGGGGCAGTTCTGCCCTGTCCTAGAGGGTCGCTATGAGCCCCCATGATAGTGAAAACTTGCATTGCTTTTGAAGCATAAGCCAGGTCACCACTTCTTACTCTTAATGTTAGCAGCAAAGTGTGATTTAGAAATCCGCTTGGGTTTCCTTCTGGCCCGGAGGATCCCGGCGGCTTGGATGCTTGTTGGGGGCCCTTGAGCTTGGATTGCTCCAGGAAGCAGTAAAGAAAAAGTCTGTCTGTCGGCAAAAGGTCATGTTTCTCCCCTCGGCCCCCTGAGTTTTCTCGTCCTTGGATCAGGAGCCTTTGTTGGATCCTTGCTTCTTCTTTCCTTTGCGTTGGATTCTTCTTTTATTTAACAGCAATTTATAACAGCAAATCCAATTTGTAATGCTGGGAAGGAAGGGGGTTTTCACTTTGTATGAATAAAACATAAAAGTGTTTCATTTTGCTTGTAAAACTAGCCCATTTCACATTCTCTTTCGTAACTTTCCTTGCTAAGAAAACGGAATCTCTTAGGAAATTTCTTGATGTGGTGAAAGTGAATAAGTATGTATACCAGGGGCTTGGAGGGCCCAGAATCTTTCTTGAAATTCTGTGTGCTTCACTGAGCCATGTAATTTCAGCATCTATTAAGGGTTTGTTTGCTTGGGGTGTTTTATGGGGGGAGGGCAGTAATATTTTCTTAAAGTTGTAGCAGTAACATTTTCAAGTGGTTGTGATTTGGAAGAAATTTGTGGGGCACGGTTCCGTAGGGAGTGATCGTTTGTGACCACCCCAGGCCCCATCCTTAAGGTTGATTTCTCTGAATCAACCTCTTCCCAAGACCAGCGTAAGGAGCGGCATTCCCTGCAAATGCAGGTCCTCGGGGGAGTTTGGGTGGCTGCAGAGCCAGGTGGGAGCTCTGGTCTTCATGTTAAGAATCACGCGTGTCTTAATTATGGCATTTCCATCTGAATCCAGGGGAGAAAGACCGCTGATGGGTTCCCAGACAGATAGCCCCTAAAAAGCCCTGTGGAGCATTCTGTGAATCGAAATCAACGTGATGGCACCTGGCGGCGGCAGCAGCAGTACTTAAACCCGAGTACAGAATGAGGACATTAGATGCAAATGAACCAGAGCACCTCTACCTACAAGTTGCAGAGCTTTTCACAGTGAGCACGCCTCCACTGGCTGTCGGCGTGGAGGCTGCCTCTTCGCTTACTTCCAGGGTCTCATCCACACGCCCACGTGGGCTTTGTCTTTCTTTCTGGTCCTCTGAATGAGCCTCTGCTTTCTTCACATAGAGAATTCTGGACGGGTCGGGTCTTCTGGCCGAGTGTTCAGTGCGCCCAATCTGTTCTTGGGCTGTTCTCCAAAGATGGGTGGGCGAGACTCGAGGTCATGGTTGGTTCTTGTGGCCATAGCGTAGTTTTCCTCTGAGTCAACCTGAATGTTGCCGCCGAGCGAGGGTGGTTGTTCCACAGGCAGCCTCTGGCCTCGTGTTTTAGCTGCTGATACTGCGCTTCCCCGTCCTCAGTTTGCTTTCTGTGCGTTCCATCTGGAGAAGCCCTCGTGCTGTTGAAGAAAAGGTGTTTGCGATGAAGACGTTGCTGGTCTCGCAAAATTCGGTTGTGAGCTCTGGGCTTCGTTACTATCACCAAGGCCATATTTCTAGCGCCTCTTCCTTCCCAGTGTTTGCGTTCCAATCACCAGCAGTCACCTGTGCACCCTGATTGCACGTGTGCTACTGAGGACG